GGGGAAAAAATAAAAACCAAGAGAGTATATAAAGGTGCAAATTTCCAATGATGAATGTCATTATATTGTATACCAATAAAAGGATATACAGTTAAAAAAATTCACCCCATGCTATCCTGGCCTTTACAGTTTATGTTGAGAAGTCTTCTTTAATCCAAATAGATTTACCTTTATATGTGACTTTTGCTTTCCTCTGCCAGTTTTTAAGATTCTTTCTTTTGTTGTGGTTGTTGTTTTTGTTGGATATCTGGAATTTTTGACAGAAATTTGTCATGGGTGTTTCTCCTTTTGTAATAGTTGGTATTCTATAAGCCTTGTTTACCTATATGTTGAACTCTTTCTTCATATTTGGGAAGTTTTCTGTAATGATTTCTGTAAACAAATTATTTATTCTAGGTGTGCTTTCTTCTACTTTTTCTCTAACTCCAGTCAGCCTTAGGTTGTTCTTCTTAGTGTCATCTCACAGCTATTGCATGAATTTTTCTTGTTCTCTTTGTTCTCTGATCATTTTTAAGGCTTCTCTGAGTAATTTGTCATAATTTACCATTTTGTTCTTGCCTTCAAAAACCTTGTGTTCTGAAGCTGGACCTGGAGCTCAGTGGTATAGCATTTGCTCTGTCCTGCCTTTATATTGGTCATTTTTTTCAATTTATCAATTCTATATAATTTTTTCATATGCCAAATTTCTTTCTGATACCTTTTCATGGAGTCGGTATGTTTGGTAAATTTGTCATTCATATTTTGAACCATTTTGGTCACCTGCTTCTTTTTTAATTCATTTCTTCATTATCCACATTGGGCATTTCATATGATAGTTGCATAAACTCTTAAATCATGTCCTCTTTGAACTGGCCCAGTATCTTTAATTCCTATTGAATCATTTTGTAGAGCTCTACTACCTCTCCTCTTCATTGGCACACTCTAGATCTGCCTACGAGAGTTGGGAGAACTCGGGGACCTTCTATATCCTTCGTTTTTTTCATCTATTCCTGGGTGTATGATGTACATATACATACATATATATGTGTACATATATACACATAAATGTGTATACATAGTTTTGTGCTGAGGGTTGGGGTCAAGTAGAGTGAGAATAAATTATAATTAATATGAAGATTCTTTCAGTTAGATTCTTCCTTCCAGCAATATGTTCACAACTCTATTTGTCCAAAGATATGGTTCATCCCTTCTGCTATTTAATTTAAGTGCTTTGGGATCTGTTGCTGTGCTGTAAGGAGAGAATTGCAAAGGGTCATAACAGCAGCAACAGATCCGAACATACATCACTTATATTAATCAAGCCTTGGGTTTATACTTTCAGCCTTATCAATAACCTTAACAACTTACTATTTTATTAGCAGTCAGTCTGCAGTGTGGAAAGAGAAGAGAGTGAAGAGATGGGGGATGGTAAAAAGAGGAATGAAAGTCAGTAAGAGCAGAGGTAGATAGGAGAAATTATAATAAGTAAAATAAATTACATCAGGGCTCAGATTCTGTTAGAGATCTTTTATAGTTGGAGTGAAGGGTTAATGTTGAGTTCTTTAAGAAGATACATGAGGATACTGGGGTGGGATGTAGGAAGGACATGTAATTAGGGATTAGGTAAAGCTGTGAGGTTGATTTATTTGTGCACCTGTCAGAGAAGAGGCAAGGAAAGACAAGGGGCTAGGTAAGATAAGGAAGAGCAAAAAGAATAGAATAGATAAGACAGAGGGTAATGACAAGACAAGGATAGTAATGTCTGAGAGAGCAGAATACAGAGTAAAAACTAACTTGAGAGGCAGAATGTAAAAATTGAGAGAAACAAGTAGAAAGAAAACGGTGTTGCTACAGATGCTAGAATTGAAGGAGTAGGGACAGGAGAAGAGAGAAGAAAGTAGACAAAGACTGAATCAAAGCAAAAGAAAAAAAGAGAAGTAACCAAAAACACCCAGCGGGTGTATCCAGCAGTACAACAAGACAATATACAAGCAATTCCTTTGTGACTGCTCTGCCATCAGCCTCAAAGTCCGCACAATACCCTTCTTCCCTGAGGTGCAGTCTGGTGGTAAGCAGCCACATAAGGATTTCGCGTGCACATGCAGGGGGACTCAGTGGGCAGGCGGGCACACTCACACAATCTGGGCTGACCTGGTGGCACCAGTAGCTCCTTTATCCTTTCTCTGGCCAGAATCTGTAGAGTGTAGCTTCCCTTGCACTCAGCGGTCACTGGAGAGTACATCACAGGAATTCAGCTTTCTCTGCTTTGGGAGGGGGCAGGATGGGGAGAAGGACCACTATATGCAGTGTCTGTCCCAGGAGTCTGGTCTTTGCAGTGCTTGTTTGGTCCCTCAGGTTACGTGCCACACTCTCATGATGACTACCTCTCAGTGAAGCAGGGCAGAGGTGTGTGTGAATCAGCCTTGGCAGCACAACTTCCCTTTTTTAACTATCCAAATGTTGCATTTGGTCTACATATACTATCTTCTCTATTAATTTTCCCTTCCAGGTGCAAGCACCTCCCCTTTTCAGAATGCCTTCATTTTGGTGAATCATCTGTAAGCATCTCCAATGCAACTCCTCCCCTAGTCAGGCATGTTGGATTTCCCACCATGTTCTTTTCCTGTCTATCAGGGAATGACATGTGTTCCATGAAGGCAGCATTCCACTGGGTTGTGTCTCATAGTGAAGAGTACACAGAACAGAGCCACAGTGAACATAGACATGAAATATGTATGAGAAAATAAAATTTTATGTGTTAAAATTTAAGGATTTGGAGCTGTTTGTCAAACCAGCATGAAATTGCTTATTCTAACAAATCTATGAACATGTTCACATTTTAACAAATATTTATGAAAAATGCATTTTAGCACTTGTATTGCATAGGCATTGATAGAGATATATCATTGAACTCAGTTTGTGCTGCCTATGAAATGCAAATGTGGCCACATAACATTGTTCACATTCCTTCCAAATCATGCTTGAGAACAGATGTATAATCCTCACTCATGTTTAGAAGTAGTAGGTGAATGTTCAAAATCCATACACTAAATTTTCTTAGCCTGTCTGTAGAGAATTACAGTCAAAAATGATTCCTGTGTCTATAAAAATATGGCTCTCAAAAGGATTTATAACTTTAAAAGCAGTTAGAAATAAGCAGAATTGTTGATGTATTGCCCTCAAAATGTATTGCTCAGGTAAAAGCATCTAACAATCTCACTACATCCTTGTCTCTCTTTTGGCTCTCTTCCTATACTGAGTCCCATCTGATAAAATTATAGTGTCCTTACAATAAAGTCAACTTGGGGAGTTGCTAAAAGTAGAGACTTTTAAAAGATTTTGTTCAACTTGTAAAAGTAACTGTGGTGGATACCACTGTGGCAATTCCTGAATCCTCCAGTAGGAGATAATCCTCTACCGTAGATGTGGTAAGTGTTATCCTGATAGCAACTTGCAGGGGCCCCTTCTCCAGAGCAATTCCCTCCTGCAAAGAGAACTGCCCCTTGCATCAGAGTCTAACTGTTGCCTCCACTCCTGGAGTGGGCAAGGACCAGAAAGTGACAAACAGTTATAAAATCCCAGACCACTACCTCAAAAAAGAACAAATAATTCTTGTTCCAAAGCTTCCCCAGGCCATCAGCGTGAAGCTGACTGGAAGAGGAAAACTACACTCCACACAGTCTCTCTTACCCTATCCATGTAACTTGCCTCCCTGAGAGCATGTTCCTAAAAGCTAACTTGAAAAAAATCTTCCCAACTTCTTCTAAAGAAACTGACCTAAAATTGTTCTCTCATTTATAAAGCAAATATTTTTTTCTCTTTGATTATCTTTACATATTTGATTTTCATTTGGGGAAGTATTTTTTAGTGAAGAATAATATCTGACTCATAATACATACCTAAATTATATTTTCAGTGAGTAATTAGATATGCAATTAGAGTTATACTTTTTTACGAGTTTTATTTTTTATTCATTATTTATTTATATATGTTTGTAGTGCTGGGAATTAAACCTAGGGCTTCCTGTAATGCTAAGCAAGGTTTCTACCACTGAGCTACACTCCTAGCCTCTGACAATTAGTTTTATTATGGACTGAATCCCATTATGCAGGCATTAGTCAGACCAGATGGTTAGGCATGTGTACCAGCTGATATAAGTTGCTAACAAATACATTCACACTGTTCACACATCTGGCCTTTATGACAGAGTTTCCTCATGTGAAATATTTGTACGTGTGTCACAAAATACTTCACTCCTCATTATATGCAATTTTTGTGTACATAGAATCATACCTAGAATTCAAAATATAAGGTATATTAATATTTGTAATTTTATCATGAATTAGTTCTTTTTATAGGTACTTTTTGAGTGGCATAAGAACTCTTTGAAGATAGAGATTTTTCACATCTCTTTTTCAGAATCTAACCCAATGCATGTCATAATCAATGTTAAAAAATATCAAGTCATTTTTAAAAAAATTATCCTTGGTCTTACAATATGAATAATTGATTGCCTATAAATCTAAGTATTGTATTCTTGTACATATTCTAAATTTATTTGTAAGATGTATATATAATAATCTGGATATCCAACATTAAAACAATGTATTGGGATGCCATTAAAAAAGTCACACATGTAGATGAAAAACACACAAATATTGATTATTTAAGTCTCATGTCAACTGGTAAAACTCAGAATTTGCATTGTTACATCAAAAATATTCAAAAAGCAGTGTGAGAAATTTATTAGCAAACATGAAAATGTAATATGTGCTGCTAATGACATAGTTGATAGAGAAGTGTAAAGAAATTAAAATTTAAAATTCAAATTTTCCCGAAATTTTAATATAAATTTCCATTGTTTTTGTTTTAGGAGGAACAGTCAAGAAAGCTATAGAATTTTAATGCCATTTGCTAATATGAAAATAGGTAAATATTTTTTCAGTTAAGCTTCAAAATTGTGAATATTGGAATATTTTTTATTTAAATATTAACATTCTTATAAAATAAGTAAAATTTATGGAAAATATTTGTTAATGTTTTTTCCATCTTGCTAAATGTTAAAGAACAGACAGCATAAGAATTATAAAATTTTTATTTTATTTATGTTAAAAATTATTCCTCTGCAACTTTAAACAAAGGATATTGCATAAAGCAATAAATATAAATTAAGAAAACTTAGTAATTAATTAATACTTTATGCTTAAAAAAACAAATTGGATCATTATCTATAGAGTACTTTCTTTTTCTACATTTAGTTAATAAACTACTTAATTCAATTTTACATATTTTGGGTCATACATGTAATAATAATAATGTAATGTAATAATACATACATTATTTACAAATTGGAGGAAAATTCAGTACAAGCTATTAAATAGTATTGAAAGATGGTTATATGTGCACACAACCTGAAATCAAAGTTTCAATCAATGAAAACTTGGAAGCAGTATTTGATATGAAATGCAAACTCCTTATTATACATACCTTCACCACAAAATGTACATGTTCTATTGTTTCCAGGGCACAAAACTTTTATTAAAGTTATGAGATAACCAAAAATGCTCTGCTCTGTAAAACCACAGTAAACTGGTTGCCACTTACACTGAATGGCCATGTGGAGTTAGTATGGAGAGTAAGGTTGCTGGTCAAACCTACTCTGAGTTGAGGAAGAAAGAAAGACCATGAGAATGCAGTGAAAGTCTGGCTAGAGATAGAAAACAGCAACCAAACCTAAGAAAGTGTCTTTGGGAGAGAGTACTAGGTATATGGTAGATGTTCCAAAAATTTATAAGTAAAATTTTGAGCAAGAGAAGGAGGGAGGTGAAAGGACTGGCAGACAGGGTGGATGTGGTTTTCTAACACATTTTATGGCAGTCATGAAATCCCTTGACAATCAATTTGCTTCACCGTGGACTCTCACAACTTTTTCTCTAAATTGTATACTTTCATTTAACTTATGAGATTTACTCATGATTTCCTTAAGGATACCTTTTCTGAATCCCCAGAATTTTTCATCTTTATGTGACATCATGAGCTTAATTCCTAAAACAAAGTGTTAGTATTACTTGATTATTCTGGCTCTTGATGTAGAATTTATCTCAGGACAATATATTCCCAGCACTTGACACTGGGCCATATATAGCGAGGGCAATGGATAAATATGCATTGAAACATACTGAACAATTTGAAAAATTATGCAACTGAATGCAGTCTTTATTCTTAACCAAATGTGGGTCTTGCTAGGGAAATAGACTTTTTTTTATTTAGAAGGAATAACATTAGAATAAATCATTTTTTTTTACAGTTACTAAAATATCAGTTATTGTTCATGAAATCTAATTGTCCAGGCACCTTAATTGTCATGAACAATCCTGGAAATGACTGATAACATGTTAAAATATTTGCAAGGCAGATTCACGGCCTAACTTATTCTTAAGTCATTAATCAGATTATCTTCTGTTGTTTACCACAATTTAAATATTGGAATGCTTAATGACTTAAAGAAGTTTATTGTGATGCCAATAAAAACAAAGATAGTAGTGAGGAGTAAACATAAGTTGACAGAATGAAACATTAAGTAGTTTGCATGTAATCTTAGAGGGAAAAGGGAATATTATTTTATGCAACCATCTTGAAAGTTTTGCCTATAATATATGTGTATCACCAGTACAAAATATTTAATTTAATTCATGCTATTCCACATTTACACAGTAATTTCAGGAAAGAAGAGCTCAAATATGTTAATCCTATTCAAACTCATGAAAAAATTTACACTGCTTATGCACAGAAAATTATTCAATACATATTTGTGAAAAAGTCGCTTGCAAATATAAAATCTTTGATGTTGGCTTTGTACTATGAAAGAAATTTTTTTTTCAAATATGTGATTAATATAAATAAATTGAACTTCTGGTTTGCAGTTTCAATATAAAAACAGTGCAAGTCACTGTCCCTGTCTTCACAATAAGAAAAAAAGCTAAAATATGCAAATAAACAAAAAATAGAAAAAAACAAAAAATAAAAATACAACTCCTCTAAGAAACATCAAAGAACTGAAATAAGCAGGCAAATTGTCCCCAAATTTATAGAACAAAGTATATGCTGTAAATTACCATTTACTATTAACAGAAGCTGAAGGACAGAAGCCTTTCTGGGAGCCAAGTACCGGTAAGAGAATTTAAATAGTGATTGACTAATTGTGATAGTTTCACTGTGAACTAGTTATTACAGACTGAATTACATCCCCCTAGAGTTCATATTTTGAAGATCCAACCTGTATCATAGTATAAATCTAAAATGTCCCCCCCAAATTGTCATGTGTTTGTAAGGTAATTGGATCATGACAGTGCTATATTTATCTGATGAGTTCATAACTAACTTGCTGTTAGAAAGGGGTCTCTAGGCACATGACTTGGAAGGGTGTATTTTTCCCTGGCTTGTCCTACTTCTCTCTGTTTCTGGGCTCCCATGAGTTGAGCAGCTTTCACCATGTCCTTCTACCATGCTGTTTTCTCCTTAAAGAAAGCCAACCATGGACTAAACTTACTAGAATCTATGAGCCAACTAAACCTCCCCTTCTTTAATATGGGGCTGTTCAGTATTAAGTCTCGGTGATGAGAAAGCAGATTAACACAAACATTTGTTGCCTATAGCAGGGTCATTGCTGTGACTGCATCTGACCATGTGGTTCAAAAGGCTTTGAAATTGGTTTCATGGAGGAGTGTGGAAAAATTTGGAGATGACAGCTACAGCAGGGTTAGAATCCTGTGACCAGAGGTGGATGAGTGATACATACAAGAGTTCAAAAGCCCAGGATGCTGATAAGAATGTGTATAGTAAAGACAAAGCTGATTAAGATTCAGTTAGAAATGAGGACTGCCTGGGAAACTAGAGTAGAAGCCATGGATATTTCATTCTTACAAATAATTGCTTTGTTTTTTCCCATTTCATGACACTTTGCTGCAGGTGGAGATAAAAGGCAATGGATAAGTTAATCTGCCAGAGGAAATTTCAAAGCATCTCAATGTTCAGGGTATGATATTGGTACTGAAAATTGCTTTTCTCCAGATCTAGAATGAGAATCAGCAATCAAAAGTAGGTGCAAAATGTTTGAAGTTTTATCCCCCCCAAAATCTAAAAAACTGTTAGCACAGTTGCTAACAAAATTAACATTAAATAGAAGCTGAATAATTTATGTCAGATGAATACAAAAAAATGACTTGAAAACATCTCAGAAATCCACCAGACTCCATCCTTCATGGGCTCAAGGGTGTAAAAAGGAAAACTCCTTTGAAAATCTTTGCTTTGAGAAGATAGCCCTTGCTCATTCAACTTGTGCTAGGCCACCTAGGGAAGTGTTTCCCAGGTCAACCATCCAACTACTCAGAGGCCTCTGCAGCCATGGTCCAAGAAGGCCCAGATATTGTTCAAATTGGTAGCAGACTATGCCATCATCTATGTGGTGTATGTTTTATATGTAAACTGAATATAAGAGCTGTGAGTTCAAAGAGTCTTCCACCTAGATTTTTTAAAGCCCCAGGGGAACAGGTATTGTGTTTCTCTTAGGGAAATATGTGAACCTTGAAAGTAAAAAGTAAAGGTATAGTAAGGAGCCTAAGAAGTCAGACATCTAAAAATGTAAAATATCTGTTGAGTAGAACCAAAAACAGTGAATGGAGCCACCTTGTGATAGAAGCCATGTGGGCTGTAACTAACAAATCTATTGGAGCTAAGCTTCCCAGCACTTTGAAGCCTACTTCTTATCATAACCTGCCCATGGTGCTGGACATGCAGGTTCAGGATTCAATGTTTTTCTTGCTGGATTTTGGTCTTGCTTTGGTCCTGTTCCTTTCTATTCTTCTAGTCCTCCTCTTTGAAAATAAATTTTATATATATATATATATATGTATGTATATATATATTATATATATTATATATACATATATATAATATATACACACACACATACCCTCTGTGGCTCTGTGGGTATATGTTGGGAATATTTAAGTTTCTTTTTTGATTTTCCTTTTAGGGACTCACAGCTAAGTATTTCCCTTGAGTCTCAGAGGAGACCTTAGTCTTTTCAGCAATGCTGCAACTGTTAAGCCTTTGGCAACTGCTAAGACTTTGCACAGTGAGATGCATATGACCATTTTGAGGGGGGAGTGGAATGTAATGGTGTAGATATAAAATGTCCCATAAAAATCTCATGTGTTTGGAAAGAGATCTTATCATGGGGGCATTATACTCATCTGTGGATTACTGCACTAATAAGTTCATAACTAATTTCCTGTTAGGACGTGGGGGCTAGCTGGAGACAGTTCACTGAAAGTGTGACCTGGAAGTCTGTATTCTTTTCTCTGGGCCCTTCCTTCCCTCTGTGTGTCATATCTGCCTTGGGTTGAGCAGCTTTCATCTTCCAAACCCTCCTACCATACTATCTCTGCCTTGGAGCCAGCCAAGTATGGACTGAACCCACTCAAAACTGTGAGCCAAATAAACATTTCCTCCTTTAATTTGTAGATGTTGGGCATTGTGTCTTAGTAGAGAGAAAGCTGACTAATACACCCCCTAATGTAACTACACTTAGATATATGCTCTCTAGGAAGTAATTAAATTAGATGAGGTCACAAGGGATTGAATTTCTCATAAGAGAAGTTTCAGGGATGAGAATTCTCTCTTTCTTCCTTCAGGCATGCACACAAAAGAGGTCATGTGAACTCTCAGTGGGATGACATTGGCTTCAAGCCAGGAAGAGAGGCTTCTTCAGAATCCAAATTCACTGTCATATTGTTCTTGGGTTTCTTAGTCTTCTCAGCTATGAGAAAATACATTATTAAGCCATTTGTATTTTGTTGTCACAACCCAAGCAGATGACTATTGCTAGCTTGAGAATGAAAATATTCAGGGGCCATGAGTCTACAGTAGGGGGTGGCACTCCTCATGAGTTGGGTGTTTATCCTGAATCTCACCAGTTTTACAGGGTGAATATAAGAGAAGATTTCCTTTTGTTTCTTTCAGAAGGAGGGTTAAAGTAAACATTTTGACATAGAAGAATAATTTTCTATTCTCATCCACAAAGCTTTCCTTCAAAGGAAAAATCTTATCAGAACTTATCAGTTCCACAATGATATATGTGCACCCATGTTCATAGCGGCACAGTTTGTAATAGCTAAAGCTTGGAAGCAGCCCAAGTGCCCATTAACTGGAAACTGGATAAAGAAGATGTTGTTTTTTTATAGAATGGAGTACTGCTCAGCCATAAAGAATGAAAAACTAGAGTCATTTACAGCTAAATGGATGCATACTGAGGCCATACTCTTAAGTGAAATAAATAGGACACATATGTGTAAATACCGAATAGTTTCTCTAGTGTGAGAAACTGATAGTGTAAACAAGGGTTAAAATGATTAAAATGAATAACTGATAATTTGAAATAGGAAAAAAGGTCCAAAAATGAAGGAGTGAAGGGAGGGGAAAGGGAAAGGAAAAGAGGGAAAGGAGAAACTATGAGAAAAGAAAAAAAATGGAAATGAAATCTATGTAAATAGGGAAGGGTGGAGAGGGTGCAGGGTGCACAGGTAATGGGGAAAAAAACAAGAACCAAGATATATCATGTACAGGTACAAACACCCGATGATAAATGTAAATGAATTTTATACCTAAAATGTACCAATAAAAGCACTAAAAAAGAAAAAAAGAAAACCAAATATTGACTTTTGGCTCTCCTTCTACCTCACGGGCTCAGTGTTTTTAGTGTACAGATTTTCTTGCTATTGGCACTGTCACTGTTATTCCTTTAGTAACACAGTAAGAAGAAATGCAAATATCCTTTAAAATAGGACACAGAATTTTAAAATATATTTAAACAGCCTTTCTTTACTTTTATTGTTTTATATAAATGGACCTTGTTTTGTGCCTTAGCATCAATTACACATGTTCATCTATTTAGCCAGTTTGATGATATTTCATGTTAGTTCTCCATCAGGGTACACAGAATTTCTACAAGGCAGGTGACCATATATCTTTTAAAGTAATACTTGAACATTCACACTCGAAGGCTCATGACGGCTTCTTTGAGGAGTACAGCTTGAGATTCATGCTCTGTGATCTAGCTTTAAGCCTTAATAAAGGTATCCCAATTCTTGCAACTGTTATCATTTGACACATTCCTAGGTGTATAAATATTGACTTAGTAAGAGACGAACTTCATGTGCTTTTCACAAAGGACGGAAGGTACATTTGGATCTTAAGAAGTTGATTTAAGGGTCAAAAAAAGGGCTGTGGCTATAGTTCAGTGCAAAGGCCATGGATATATCCCCAGTTCCACAAAAAAAAAAAAGAAAGAAAGAAATAGGAAGGAGGAGGAGGAGAAACGGAACAAATAACATCAGTCTAATACCTAATTTTATTGCTTAAAAATTCCACCTTCTACAAAACACTAGAATAAAATTCAGCCAGTCCTTTGACCCTTTATAACAATGATCAATTTTCCTCCCATTTCCAGAAGCATATTCTTCATTTCCATTTGATGCCTCACTAGGCATAATTTTACTAGTTATTTTTTAAGGTACTAGGAATTGAACCATCACCTCACACTGAGCTGTCCCCACCCCATAATGGTCATATTTCTATCAACAGTCTCTATAAATTCATAGAAGATTTCTATAAGATGCACCCCAAAACTCTTCCACGTTTTACTGGTCACTCACTTCTAAAGCCATCTACACATTTTTAGGTACTTGTTACAGAAGTATCCCACCTTTCAGTAGGAAAATATGTATTCTATTAATCCATTAGTACTGTCAACAAAATAGCACAGACTAGGTGTCTTAAACAACAAAAATGTAACATAGCTCTGGAGCCTCCAAGCCTAAAATCAAAGTAACCTCTCGGATGGATGGCTTTTGGTGAGGTGACTTTGTGGCTTGTGACTGCTGGTCTCTGTGTCCTTACGTGGACCCTACTGTGTACACAGAGAGAGAGAGAGAGAGAGAGAGAGAGAGAGAGAGAGAGAGAGAGCTCTGGCATATCTCCTTTTAATAATAGAAACAAAAATTTTATCAGATTGGGTACCTACACTAATGACATCATTAAACATTACTTACCTCATTACAGGGCCTACTTACAAATATATGCATTGGAGAATTTGGGGTAGCAACTGGAGGGACAATTCAGATGACATCATCTTTCACCTCTCATAATTCTCAACAATCCATCATTTTCATAAGCATAAATAAAGAGATATTCCTACTATTTTGAAACAGAATATCATTGGAAGTCTCTGGTGGAACTAGGATAATTACCAGCAACTAGTAATAAAGAAAGTCTTTATAAGCAAGTATCAATAAGCCCTAGCCCAGAAGCTGGATGTACAACTCATTACTTGACAATAATGAGGTTATACATATTTTTTTCCTTCCTAGTCATAGCTGTGGCCAATCAAGCCAATAAAAGATTTCAGTTAATTTAGCATCTCCTTGTTCTCAAAATTTCTAGGAATTAAAAAAGTATGACTTGACATACCAAGAATGAGGAAGATCTCAAAACGAAAGCAAAAAATATGAATCAATAACCACTAACAAGATGAAAGAATTAATAAAATTCTCTATCAATTTTTTAAAGTAGTCATGATAAATTGCTTCAATAGGCAGTGGCAAACACTTTTAACAAATGAAAAAAAAAGAAAAGGAAAACTCTGAGCAAACAATTGGGAGATATTTAAAATAAATAGAAGTATAAAATACAATTACTGTAAAGAAGTGAAACAACTAAACTGATTGACTCTATACAAGAATGATGGGAACAGAAGAAAGTAAAAATTAACTTGAAGATACAAGGGTATAATACAATAACACAGAAAGACAAAAGTGGCAATGGGATTATATGATCTGGTATTTGTCAATTGTAGCAAAGGACATAAGCAATTAAATAAGAAAATGAGGACATTACTACTCATCTTAAAAATAAAATGAAAAAAATAGAAGTATATGCAATTATATAATTATAGCAATTATATATATCAATAAAATAGACATAGAATGCAGAAGATCATCAAGAAGATCATACACCCAGACCAAGTGGGATTCATCCCAGGGATGCAGGGATGGTTCAACATATGGAAACCAATTAATGTAATACACTATATTAATAGAGCCAAGAAAAAAAACCATATGATCATCTCAAAATATGTCAAAGAAGTTTTTGACAAAATCTAACACTCATTCATGATAAAAAAAAAAGTACAAAAAATTGGAATAGACAGTCTCAGCCTCAACTTGATAAAAGCTATGTATGAAAAACCAACAGCCAATATCATACTAAATGCTCAAAAACTAAAATCCTTCATGCCAAAATCAGGAACAAGACAAAGAAGTCCAATATCACCACTCCTGTTTAATATAGATTTGGAAATAGCCACAGCATTAGATAAGAAAAAGAAATAAATAGAACTATAACAGGAAATGAAGAAGTCAAATTGTCATTATTTTCAGATGACATGATACTTTATATAGAAGATCCCAATATCTCTACCAAAAGTCTTCTAGACTTAATAACCAAATTCAATAGAGGAGCTAGATACAAGGTCAACACACAAAACTCAAAACATTTCCTGTACATGTAAAACAGTCACTGAAAAATGACCTAGAGAAACAACTCTCTTCACAAGAGCATCCCAAAAAATGAAGCACCTAGGAATCAACATAAGGGAGGATATCAAAGACCTCTATTCTGAAAACTATAGCACTCTGAAAAAAAGATCAAAGAAGACATCAGAAAATGGAAAGACATCCCTTGCTCCTGGGTAGGAAGAACCAATATAGTGAAAATGACCATATTTCCAAAACTGTTATATAGATTCAATGCAATCCCAATTGAAATTCCAGCAGAAAACTTCACAGACCTTTAGAAAATAATCCAAAAATTTACTTGGAACCAGAAGAGACCTAGAATAGCAAAAGTAATTCTAGGCAAAAAAGACAAGGTAGAGGGTATCAAAATCCTCAACTTGAAACTATACTGCAAAGCTACTGTGATAAAAACAGCATGGTACTGACAAAGAAACAGACTGGAAGACAAGTGGAACAGATTAGAAGATGCAGAAACAACTCCAGACACACTCAGCCATCTCATCTTTGACAAAGAAGCCCAACACCCTTACTGGAGGAAAGATAGCCTCTTTAATAAATGGTGCTGGAAAAATTGGGTTTCAACTTGACAAAGATTAAAAGTAGACCTATATCTCTCACCATGCACTAAACTAAAATTGAAATGGATTAAAGATCTAAATATTAAAACAGAAACACTAAACCAGCTGGAAGAGAGGTTAGGTAGAACTCTTGAAAATATTGGCATAGGAAAAGATTTCATGAACAAAACCTCAGTTGCATGTGAACTAAAACAAAGAATCAACAAGTGTGATCTCTTCTTATTAAAAAGCTTCTGCACTGCAAGAGAAACCACCAACAGAGCTAAGAGACAACCTACAATGAGGGAAGAAATTTTTAGCAGCTGTACCTCAGACAAAGGTCTACTATCTAGAATACATAAAGAACTGAAAAACATCAGACCCCTCAAATTCAAAGACCCAATTCAAAAATGGGCATCTGAAATGAACAGACATTTCTCAGAAAAAGAAGTAGAAGCAGCAAATAAATATATGAAAAAATGTTCAATATCACTCATCATTCAAGAGATGCAGATGAGAACAACACTGAGATTCCATCTCACCCCACAAAGAATGGCTGCTATCAAGAAATCAACCAATAACAAATGCTGGCGGGGGTGTAGAAAGAAAGGAACCCTTCTCCATTGTTGGTGGGAGTGCAAACTGGAGCAACTACTGTGGAAGTCAGTATGGAGATACCTCAAAGAACTAGGACTACAGGTCCCATTTGACCCAGCTATTCCCCTACCGGGTATCTTCCCCAAAGAATTAGAAGAATCATACCACAGCGATATATGTGCACCTATGTTTATAGCAGCACAGTTTGTAATAGCTAAAGTTAGAAACAGCCCAAGTGGCCATTAACTGGAAACTGGATAAAGAAGGTATGGGGTTTTTTTATAAAATGGAGTACTACTCTGCCATAAAGAATGAGAAACTAGAGACACTTATAGCTAAATTGATGCATATTGAGGTCATATTCTTAAGTGAAATAAATAAGACAGACGTGTAAATATCGAATAGTTTCTCTAGTGTGAGAAATTGAAAGTGTAAATAAGGATGAAAATGATTAAAATGAATAATTGATAATTTGAAGTAGAAAAATGTCCAAAGGTGTAGGGATGGTGGGTGGGGAAGGGGAAAGGGAAGAAGGGAAAGGAAAAATTATGAGAAAGGAAAAAAAAGCAAACAAAGTCTATGTAAATAGGGAAGGATGGAGGGGTGAAGGGCGCACAGGTAATAAGGGAAAAAATAAGAACTAAGATACATCATGTTCAGGTACAAGCACCCAATGATAAATGTAAATACATTGTATACCTAAAATGTACCAATAAATATATTTTTTTAAAAAAGAATCATACCACAATGGTATATGGGCATGCATGTTCACAGTGGCATAGGTTGTAAGAGCTAAAACTTGGAAACAGTCCATTTGTCCATCACCTGGAGACTGGATAAAGAAAATTGGTGTTTTTAATAAAATGGAGTACTACTCAGCCATAAAAAATGAGAAACTGGAGACATTTATAGTTAAATGGATGCACATTGAGGCCATACTCTTAAGTGAAATAAATAGGACACACCATGTGTAAATACTGAATAGTTTCTCTGGTTTGAGAAACTGAAATTGTAAATAAGGATCAAGTTATATAATAGATAATGTGAAACAGGAAGAAAATGTGCAAAGGGGAAGTGGAAGTGGGAGGGGTAGGGGAAAGGAAAGAAGGAAATGGAATTAATATAAGAAAATTAAAAAATGGAAGCAAAGTCTTTGCAAATAGAGAGGGGTGGAGGGGTTGAAGGAAGGGCAGGGGAATGGTTAAAAATAAGAATCAAGATATATTTTGTGAAAGTACAAATCTCCAATGATGAATGTCATATTTTATACCTAAAATGTACCAATAAAATTAATTTAGAAATTTGAAAAATAGATGAGTTATAACAATAGGACAAATTCCTAGAAATATAAATCCCCAAAACTGACACAGGAAGAAATAGAATACATGAACAGGCATACAACTAGTCAAGACATTTAGGCAGTGATTAAAAAAACACTCAACAAAGAAAATTCCAGAAAAAAATTCATTGCTTAGTTCTACCAAAATTTAAAGGATTATTCCAATATTTCCCAAACTATTTTAAAAAGCTGAAGAGCAAAGAATATTCCCTAACCAACCAACTGCCTTGTTAGCAAAACCAGACAAAGATGTGATAAAAATATAAAAGTATAGATCAATATCCTTTATAAATATTGATGCAAATATTCTCAACAAAATACTAACAACTCAAATCCCATGGCATATTGAAAGGATTATACACTTTGTACAAATGAGATGTATCCCAGGAGTACAAAGATTGTTCACTGTTAGAAAATGAACCAATTTAATAAACTAAATTAATGAAACCATTGGGGAAAGCCCACACAACCACATCAATTGAAGAAGAAAGACAATTGAACAAAACCCAATAAGTATCCATGATTAAAAGAAACTAAGGGTATAAGGGAATATCCTCAAAATGGTAATGAGTATTTATGAAAACCTCACAGCTAACTTGTCAATGGTAAAGATTGAAACTTTCTCTCTGAAAATAAAAACAAGAGACAGAATTCTTTTTGGGGTATCTCAGTGTAGCTATAATTTGTATTTTTCTCATATTCAGCAATGTTGAGCATTTTTCCTCAATATATTGGTCATTGTATTTCTTCTTCTTAGCAGTGTCTATTCATTTTGGTTGCTCATTCTTGGATGGTTCTTTTATTTTGGGAAGTCTAATATTTTTGTGTTCCTTATATATCCTAGTTTGAGACAACAACGACCTCAAGTGTCAACTAGATACTGACAAACCGCAAGAACCACTCACTGACTACCTTTAACCAGAGCAAAGATGTCCAAGATTTTACTGAAGACTCTCAGGATACCCATGTATTGATCTGCAGTAATTCAGACCAGTAATTTGTGCTAGATGTAGGCAGTCATGCAAGAGATAAAGCATACCACAGGACTAAATGGCATCTCATTTCGGTCCATCCCCTCTGAAGATTATACCCTCTAAAGCTGGCCTCCCACCACATATACAGGCCTCATGATCCTCCTGGACCAAGCCAGAGCCTCTCAGCAGATCCCAGGAGATCCTTGTTGAACTCTGATCCTCTCCAAGCTTGTCACACAAAGCTGTCTCTCACCCACTCCCCCTGTAGTGTAACACTTCAGTCCTGGACCCAGACTCTCTCTCTGGGTGTTGGTCTCATCTTCAGTCATGTGATTGTCACCTCTGTTGCCTCTGCACCTCTTGTAGGACTGGTGTCAGGGCCAGGGGGTGGGCAGCAGGGCCTCTCCTACATGAGGCTTCAGTGTCTGCAGTGGGAGTGGGCCAACAGCATTTTATGCTACAGTTAGAATATACAAAATATAGTGTATTTAAAATGCAACAATGAAAAAACAAAGAGCCAAGCTTAAAAATGAGCAATGGAAGGAAACTGACATTTCTCCAAAGATGTAGAAATACCCTGTACAAGAAAAGATTTTCAAAATTATTAATCACTAAGAAAATGCAAATCCAAACTACAATACTATAAAATTATATACCCATTAGGATAGCTATCATAAAAACAACCTCAGTGAAATAAGTAACATTGGCTAGAGCTAAAATATTCTCACAGCACTTATATTCTGTTTTTCTGGATCTGGTAAATATTAAACACATCTAGAAGCAATATTGGCAATGGCCTTATGATCCTTCTCAAAATCAGATAAAAACTCACCTTTGGTGTTTGGCATTCCAGCCACTCTTCTGAATACTCATTATTTTGTTGTTCTAGGATAGCTGTCCTTATCATCCCCCGCATAGGAAAACAGTTAACTGTAGATTGAAATTTTTCAAAGATCTCTGATAAATAGCCTGTTTTGTACTAAAAGTTGAGTTGCAAAATACTGATGGTTGTACTTACAAAGAAAGAAAATAATTTAAATGAATCACAGAACAATCTTCACAGAAAAAACTAAATTCCCCTTTTCCCAAAATTAATGTTATCTCCTAGCTACAGCAGAATTTATACTTTTGATAGCAGCTTCCTACTAAAAACTGCTACTAAAACATGCCATTGATTTACCTTTGCATGTGGATTGTAGCTAAGCTCCCCATAGTACCATTTTAATAATAAAATACCTCTTCAAACATGAGCACAGGTTCATTATTATTATTTTTACTGGGTACAATGCATATTTTTTCTTCCCTCGAATGGGAGTTGACTCAAACAGTTGATGGACACATCGCCCTGGGAGTCTTGCTGACATATGTAATTATTGTGGCCTGCAAGCAGCAATTTCACTTGGGAAGAGGAACAAACAAGGTAAAATTGTAATGTTTAAGCCAAACATCTTCACTGAAAATATGGATTGTGGGAGGGCAAAGATAAATGGGAGCATTGCTCACCAAGGAGAAAAAAAGAAAAAATAAAGCAACTCTGAGGAAATGAAATTTTGAGGGTTTTACCAAAAGGGAAATAAACTTGGTTAGAAAAAGGGAAGACTGCAAAGTTGACCTGACATTGTTCTTTTAGGTATCTGTCAAAGAACAGAATTTCAACAGTGTTTTAAAGATCTAATTTGTTTTTTTAACCCAATAAGCTATGTAGAATACGTGATAGGGTATAGTGTGATCACTCTATACATGAGAAAATGTGTAAGAAACAAATCGGGGGAGTTAGCTTTTCCATTGCCTCAATCATTTACCATTTCTTTATGGTAGCAACTTTTAAAGTTCTCTCTTATCGTTTTAATTGGCCTCACTAGCTACGCATGAACCTATCAGCCTCCCGTGCACATGATAAAAAGGCACCTGGTGTGAAGAATGAACTGCTTTTGTATGACAGCTTTAGCTGAAGCAAGGAAACAGTACAGTCGAAGAAGTGTGCTGGTTCTCATCAGGTTCTTTTCTTTGTATGGGTTTAAGAAGGGCCTGGGGGAATTCTCTAGTCTCTCAGGTTGGCTAAGCCTGTTTTGACAGCTGCCTGTGAGTCTCCTGTTTTTCCTCAGTTTCAGCCTGGTTAGGTAGCATTGACCATGAGTGATTCCATTTTAGCTTTGCTGGGGCCATGTTCAGGTTTCCAAGAAATTTTATTTAACAATTGTAAGCCTGGATCAGATGAGAATAGCATGTAACATATTACAGTTTTATCCAGTGCAAAGCTGTCTGGACATCATTACTCTCCGCAATCACCATCATCACCCAAAATAAATTGACTTCAATTGCCATTTACACTCATTTTAGATGATCTTGAATTGGATTGTCAACTTGGTTTGACAAAAAGACCAATGAATCCACCAGGCCAGTCTATCTCTCTTAATGGACTAAACAGGCTTTGATGGAACCTTTTCCAATAATAGCTCCTAGAAAGTAGCTTTGTCTTACCCCATCTCTCAACAAACAAGAAATATTAGTTAGTAACTAAAACTGCAATGTTCTTGAGTTTTTTGAGTTGATCCTAAGAAAATAAAAGGGAAAATGGTATATTTAATAGGTACTTAAAACTGAAGGTTTTTGTTTTTGTTGTTGTTTTGTTTTTTGTTTTGGGTTTTTTATGCATGTAAAGCAAAAAACACTGATTTTTTTACAGTGAGGGATAATGGTGGGGGGGGGGTCTGTGTGTGTCTGTGTGTGTATGGTCTGAGCAGCCTCAGAGTTAGACATCATTTATACATATACACACACATACAAAAATGCAACAAGAATAGACAGAAACTTGAAATATCTAACATGGAGGCAGACAAAAAAATCTATGTGCTTCAAATTTGCACTTTCAGTTAGCTTCTTGTGCAAAGAGTCTCATGCTGGTTCTTGGACTCTAAATGGGATCTGAAATTGCTTGCTCCCTACTTCTCAGAAGCAAGATGACCTTGTTCTCGGTCCTTATTTAGTTACTGGGAAATGCAAGCCTGAGAAGGAGGCATGTGAAAGCAAAGTTAGGTCCCAGGAAACTTGAGTCTCACCTGGCAGGGGCCTAGGGACTCTGCAATGGACAAGCCATGTGGAGCTCAGAGGCAGACCATAATATTTACATTAAGGTTGTACTACCAGAGGAATGTGCTCTAAAATACAGTATTTTTCCTAAGCATCCCCTGCCTTTACATATATTTTTCAATATAAAATATTCCTGAAAAGCACTCCAAGGTGATAATTGCTTCTAGTTGTCTTTAAATAAACTTACGCCTTAATCATTTGGCAAATCTGAAAGAACTTCACAAAACACATTAAAACATGACACGTTGTGCTCATGCCTGTAAATGCAGCACTAAGGAGCCTGAGGCAAGAGGATCACCTCCAGTTCAAGGCCAGTTTGCTATATAGTCTAGGCTAGCCTAGACTACATAGGGAGACCCTGTCTCAAAGAATGAAAAACAAGGGAAAAAAATATGACAGACCCACATTCATCAATACCTAGTGGGTAGGGAGATTCTAACTTAATCAAAGGTGCTTTGATGTGAAGGAGAATAAATAATGAGAGCTGCTAGAGGTACAGCGAAGGAACCTGAGCTCCCCATGAGCAGGAACATGCCCAGGTTGTATTTTAATGTAATGTGTCTTTGTCAGAAGCGTTTTGTTATAGACAAAATAATGTGACCCCAACAATGTCCATATTCTACTCCCTGGAGTCCCTAGATATACTACTTTGGAGGACAAAGAACTTTTCAGATTAAAAGCACTGAATACTTACAAATGAAGAAGTTAATCTGGATTACTCTAGTGCTTGTTACATAATCCCAAGAGTCATTCACAATGAAGGGAAATGCAGAAGACGAAGAACGATATATAAATTAAAGCCTTAATCTCTGTCCTAGAAAAGATGTTATATAAATAACAGTTGTTGGTTCCAGAGAATCTAACAAGACATTTTGAGCAAATAATTAATAATGTAGTGAAGAAAATTCAAAGCACGGATTCTGGTGTGATTATATTGCATATGTTTATTGAAAATGTTAAAATTAATTATTCTTTCTCTAGTTGTATTTGAAGTTTAACACAAGCTGTGGCTAGAACTGTCAGTGCTAATATGGCAGTATCAAGTCATGATTTTGCATTACCTCTCCTGGAATTCATCTAACATAATAAGGAGAGTAAAACAGAACTGAGTAATTAAGCTCCAATGAAGTTAAGAGAATTTTTAAAATCTGCATCACAAAATATAAACTAAGAATATTGAAAATTAAATAAAAGTGTAAAAAGACACTCAGAGACGATGCCAAGGTCATGGATTTCAGAAAAAGTAGATGAATCACCCCAATGCAAAGGAAATGAGGGTCAAATCCATCATCCTTTTCATGTAATAATAGTAACAGGTGTGGAGTTGGTGATAGACATTTCCTTGGATGACTTTTAACATAGAGTCTCAAAAAGTATGGAAGAAGTAAATAAGAACCATATTTTGAAGGAATGATACATATGTAAAACATGGGTAAAGCAGAGATATTATAAACTACAAAGAGTCGGGCACTCACCATCGGAAGTTGCAGTGAGAGAATGTGGCTTAAAATACTCACTCACCTATAATAAATCCTACCGGAAATTGAATCCTTATTTGCCCAGAACACACAACTCTGACTCATTTCACTTGCAAAACTCTTGCAGGAAACAAAAAAAAATTATCAAATTAACTTCATTCAAAAGTTATTCAGAACACCAAAATGAACAAGCACAGTCTATTTGAGATATTCTATAAGAAATAAAAAGGAGTACTGATGAACAAATTTTATAGTGAATATACACAATAACAAAAAAGAGCAGATAAAAATTTTGATCAAATATACTGACATGAAATTTTTTTCAAAAAACAAAAAGTATTGCTCCATAAATCAAAATCAAAAGGCCCAAGTAGAAAGCTAAGGGTCCTATAGATATTTAACAAAAGATATGAAACCAAATCAATCTAAGAGAAAGAAAAAAATAAAGCCATGATGCTAATCAGTGATTACAGCATTTACAGGGTTATGGCTTACGTCTCGAGCTCCCTCCAGAGCTCCTTACACTCATATGTGGGAGTTTGGGAAGGTGGCTGGATCAAGACTGTGTAATGCTGGTATTAAGGGTGTGTGCTTACTAAATTAGCCCACTGATTGGTTTAGCATACTTCTGGCTGTGAATAATAGGAAAGCCCACCCTGGGTGTGAGTGCTACCCACCCTAAGAGTGTGTAGCCTGGATAGAATTTAAGGTACAGAAAGAGGGCTGCTGTCCATTGCTGGCTGCTTTCTTGCTATTTCACTACTTAACTGCTTTCTGCTCCCACTGAACTGTTTCGCCTCTGCAATGTCCCTCTGCCATGCCACCCACCTCAGAGCCAGCCTACTATGAACTGAAACCTCTACAACTACGAGCTACAAAAACTTTTCCTCCTTTAACTTTGGGTGCCAGTTATTTTGTCTCAGAGAAAAAGTAACCAAGACATACACTGATTAATTGCAGCTTAAATGACAGTAAAAAACATGAAAATGTCAAAGAATAAGAAAAGCAAACACAATGAAATGAAAATGAAGTGCTTATAATAGAGGGAAAATAATTTTTCCTCCATTATTTTTGAAGTTTTAGTTGGAATAGAGTCTTGTAAAAAAGAAAAAAAAATTAATGAAAGAAGAGCAAACAGGAATTTGTCAACATGTTTGTTTCACATGTCCCCAAATGATACCCAGGGATGAGTAATTTAGGCTTTAGTGCTCTCATCCACTGAAACAAAGGAAGAAGGAGATGTGAGGGCTAGGCACAGGAGATGCACAGGGAGGGAATGGTAAGAAGGCTAGGATTTGGTCTGCAGTTTCCAGTCAGTACCTCCTGCTTTTTGAGCCTCTTTTGTGATTTAAACTTACCCTTCTCTTCTCTTCCAGAGCGCATTCACAGATAGATATCACCTATATTAATGTAAACTTCTCTTACAAAAGCACTTACTCAGTTTTCCAGGCTTCTTCCACATCTGTAGTTTCTCAAAAATATCAGTTCAAAATAATCCTTATGCTAACATTTTGTCTCCTACATTTATATTAGCATAAATGGT